GCCTACGGGCCGAACAGCAGTGCAGAGTACCCGGCCTTCTTGGAGTCCCTGGGAGGGGTACTAGACAGTGCACCAACTGGGGACTCCGTTGTTCTACTGGGGGACTTCAATGCCCACGTGGGCAACGCCAGTGACACCTGGAAAGGGGTGATTGGGAGGAACGGCCTCCCTGATCTGAACCCGAGCGGGGTTTTGTTATTGGACTTCTGTGCTAGTCACAGTTTGTCCATAACGAACACCATGTTCGAGCACAAGGGTGTCCATAAGTGCACGTGGCACCAGGACACCCTAGACCGGAGGTCGATGATCGACTTTGTCGTCGTGTCATCTGACCTCTGGCCGCGTGTCTTGGACACTCGGGTGAAGAGAGGGGCTGAGCTGTCAACCGATCACCACCTGGTGGTGAGTTGGATCCGTTGGCGGTGGAGGAAGCCGGAAAGACCTGGCAGACCCAAGCGTGTCGTGAGGGTCTGTTGGGAACGTCTGGTGGAACCCTCTGTCAGAGGGATCTTCAACTCACACCTCCGGGAGAGCTTCTCCCAGATCCCGGGGGAGGTTGGAGATATGGAGTCCGAGTGGGCTCTGTTCTTCACCTCCATTGTCAATGCAGCTGCTCGGAGCTGTGGGCGTAAGGTCTGTGGTGCCTGTCGTGGCGGCAATCCCCGAACCCGGTGGTGGACACCGGAAGTAAGGGATGCCGTCAAGCTGAAGAAGGAGTCCTATCGGGCCTTGCTGGCTCGTGGGACTCCTGAGGCAGCTGATGGGTACCGACAGGCCAAGCGTGTGGCAGCTCGTGCGGTCACAGAGGCAAAAACTCGGAGCTGGGAGGAGTTCGGGGAGGCCATGGAGGAGGACTATCGGACGGCCTCAAAGAGATTCTGGCAAACCGTCCGGCGCCTCAGGAGGGGGAAGCAGTTCTTCACCAACACTGTTTACAGTGCGGGGGGAGAGCTGTTGACCTCGACTGGGGATGTAGTCGGACGGTGGAAAGAATACTTTGAGGATCTCCTCAATCCCACCGTCACGTCTTCCGAGGAGGAAGCAGAGACTGGGGACCCAGAGGCGGACTCGTCCATCACCCTGGCTGAAGTCACTGAGGTGGTTGGCAAGCTCCTTGGTGGCAAGGCTCCAGGGGTGGACGAGATCCGTCCTGAGTATCTTAAGTCTCTGGATGTTGTGGGGCTGTCTTGTCTGACACGCCTCTTCAACATCACGTGGTGGTCGGGGACAGTGCCTCTGGACTGGCAAACCGGGGTGGTGGTCCCTCTGTATAAGAAGGGGGACCGGAGGGTGTGTTCCAATTACAGGGGAATCACACTCCTCAGCCTCCCCGGTAAGGTCTATGCCAGGGAACTGGAGAGGAGAATCCGCCCGATAGTCGAACCTCGGATTCAGGAGGAGCAGTGTGGTTTTCGTCCTGGCCGCGGAACATTGGACCAGCTCTACACTCTCCATCGGGTGCTCGAGGGTTCATGGGAGTTTGCCCAACCAGTCCACATGTGCTTTGTGGACTTGGAGAAGGCATTCGACCGTGTCCCTCGTGGTGTCCTGTGGGGGGTGCTCTGGGAGTATGGGGTCCGGGGCCCTTTACTAAGGGCTGTCCGGTCCCTGTATGACCGGAGCAGGAGCTGTGTTCGCATTGCCGGCAGTAAGTCAGACCTGTTCACAGTGCATGTTGGACTCCGCCAGGGCTGCCCTTTGTCACCGGTTCTGTTCATTGTTTTTATGGACAGAATTTCTAGGTGCAGTCAGGGGCCGGAGGGGGTCCGGTTTGGGGACCACAGGATCTCATCTCTGCTGTTTGCGGATGATGTTGTCCTGTTGGCTTCATCGAACCAGGACCTGCAATGTGCACTGGGGCGGTTTGCAGCCGAGTGTGAAGGGGCTGGGATGAAGATCAGCTCCTCCAAATCCGAGGCCATGGTTCTCGACCGGAAAAAGGTGGCTTGCCCTCTCCATGTGGGTGGAGAGGCCCTGCCCCAAGTGGAGGAGTTCAAGTATCTTGGGGTCTTGTTCACGAGTAAGGGGAGGATGGAGCGTGAGATTGACAGGTGGATCGGTGCAGCTTCAGCAGTGATGCGGTTGCTGTATCGGACCGTTGTGGTGAAGAGGGAGCTGAGCCGAAAGGCAAAGCTCTCGATTTACCGGTCAGTCTTCGTTCCCACCCTCACCTATGGTCATGAGCTCTGGGTAATGACCGAAAGGACAAGATCACGGATACAAGCGGCCGAAATGAGTTTCCTCCACAGGGTGGCTGGGCGCTTCCTTAGAGATAGGGTGAGGAGCTCAGTCACACGGGAGGAGCTCGGAGTAGAGCCGCTGCTCCTTCACGTTGAGAGGAGCCAGTTGAGGTGGCTCGGGCATCTTTTCCGGATGCCTCCTGGACGCCTCCCTCGGGAGGTGTTCTGGGCATGTCCCACTGGGAGGAGGCCCCGGGGAAGACCCAGGACACGCTGGAGGGACTATGTTTCTCGGCTGGCTTGGGAACGCCTTGGGGTCCGCCCAGAAGAGCTGGAGGACGTGTGCGTGGAAAGGGAGGTCTGGGAGTCCCTGCTTAGACTGCTGCCTCCGCGACCCGGCCCCGGATAAGCGGAAGAAAATGGAATGGAATGGAATGGATGTCAGTAAAATAAAGTAATTCACGGACTTTGTTTTGTAAATATGCTGCAAGTAACACAGAGGTGGGGAGGTAATGTGCAAATTACCAGACGTCCCCAGTTTGTCCTTATCCCGTGTGAATAGGGATTTACTCATAGTGGGAAGACAAACCAAGTAACTCAACTCAACTGACAGTACTGTTACTCACATAAGAGTACTGTTACTTCAGTAAAAATATTAGTCAAGTAGGAGTGAAAGTATGCTATTAGAAAAGTACTCTACGAAGTATCATTTCTGTAGAGGGTGTAATATGCAAATGCAAATATTTAGCTTTCTACCATGTTATAACTTTCCCTCATCAGAATTATGCCTGAAAAGGTTTTAGATGTCATCCATTCATGTTTGAGTAATTTAGCGATCTCTCCTGGGTCCTATTCTAATTAGTGCTGTCATGCGCTTAAAAAAATTGAGAGATTAATTAATTATGATCTGTAATTTATTAATCTAATTAATCTCATTTTAATCTCACCTAAAAATTGCTGAGAAAAGCCTTCAATTTGAGGTATTTTCATTTAAATTCATTATTACATTATTGTGGCAGATCAAAAGACTGATATAGATTAAAAAAAGTGACTTATTATAAGTCATTTATTGTTTAACAAATCTCTCCAATTTGGCTGTTGAGCCCAAGTCTCCATGAATAAGAAACTGTTTGCTGTAAAGTAGCAAAGACAAGGAAATCTGAACATAATAACTTTTGTCTACTTAAAGACAATAAAAAGTCCAGTCTTTCCTTAACCATATTAAAAATATTATTGATAGAGAAATGCTTTATATATGAAATCACTGGTTTTAGTCCTTGTTTTAGTCCTGGTTTAGACCTGGAATGGATTAATCCTGGTTTTAGTCCTGGTGTTAGTTCTGGTTTAGTCCTGGTTTAGACCTGGTTTTAGTTCTGGTTTTAGTTCTGGTTTAGTCCTGGTTTAGTCCTGGTTTAGACCTGGTTTTAGTTCTGGTTTTAGCTCTGGTTTAGTCCTGGTTTAGACCTGGTTTTAGTTCTGGTTTTAGCTCTGGTTTAGTCCTGGTTTAGACCTGGTTTAGACCTGGTTTTAGTTCTGGTTTTAGTTCTGGTTTAGTCCTGGTTTAGACCTGGTTTTAGTTCTGGTTTTAGTCCTGGTTTAGTCCTGGTTTAGACCTGGTTTAGTCCTGGACTGGTTTAGTCCTGGTTTTAGTCTTGGTGTTAGTTCTGGTTTAGAGGTGCACAGGAGGAAGCGCGGTTTACGCAGCGTAGTGAGAAAACACGATCCACACGCAGCTCACGGGAGCACGTCAGTGTCCACGCAGTAACTACGGAAGGAAACGTGGTCCGCGCGTTCTCAGGTTAATGACGATGATGAAGGTGTGTGTGTGTTTGTGTTTGTGTGTGTTTGTGTGTGTTTGTGTGCGTGTCCCCTCATGTGGCAGGTCACTATAGGACAGTAGTGCAGACATCATGAGCCTATGCAGGTTGTTTTCACCAGTGACATTTAAGTTGTAGGCGATTTTATATTTGTTATTTTCTTTTATATTTCACGTCGGGAGAATAATTTCCAAGACACGAATGTGTTTTTACCTGTGCACTGCTGGTTCTGTTCTACTGGCTCTTCGATCTCGTCCATTGTGCGACTGACGCTGCCAACGTTAACATGACGTTTACATCGCTCTTACTGCGCGTGTTTTGTGTGGGTTTCCGGCAATGAGTGGAATTACCGAAATAAAAAAATGTATAAATGTGGTTTTTTTTTGTGTGTGTGTGTGTGTGTGTGGTTTTATAATAAAGCAACTCGCATACAGAAACAGTAAAGTTAGAGATTAAAAATGAGATTAAAAAACATAACGCGCTAAATATGACTGTAATTAATTAATCGCAATTAACGCGATAATTTGACACCCCTAATTCTAATCAGACGTATAAAGAAGTGAACTAAGGGAGTGTGATGTCATCCACAGTGTTCAACTCCAGTCAAATGAAGCTCATGGTTGAATATGGAGCAGAGTTTTGTGTAGGTATTTATCTGTGTACAAAATAGTGAAATAAAGGATCATGTAGAGCAGGTAATACAAGTATTTTTAGGCTCATTGTAGCAGTTACAGAGAGAGGAGTGACAGAGTCTATGGAGGTGGAAGTGCCCCCATATTTACTTCCTGTTTGGAATGTGATGACTAGCGGGTTAGCTATGTCCATTTAAATTAAAGCGGGGATGACTTGTATTTTTTTCTTTTCTTTTTTTTTTCTTTCTGAATATAGCATTTTCAAAACAATAAAAGGTAACATGGTGAGCTAAATATGCTATATGTTAGCAGTTAACAGTTTTTCAAATAAATGTAAGTAAATTAAAGAGAGAGTGCTCTTCTCTGGGCAGGTTAAGAGCGGAGCTGGACACTGTCAAAGCTGAGGAGATGGAGCTGCTGAGGGAGGCACTCAGCTCAGAGATCCTCTTCCTCCAGAATGTAAGTGACACACTACACACATAAGAGTTCAGTTCATTTGGTGGGTGGTTCAGACTCTACACTCACCATCAAAAGCTGGTCTGAATGAAGAGGAACAGGACCGTTATAAGTTCTCAATGTGCACACCCAGCAGTAAGTAATGCAGGTCGCATTACAAAGAACAGTGACTTTAAAATGAGACTAAACACCTAAACTCTGCACACAACCACCTTTCACATAGAACTGTTTTAACCAGAAAGCTGCAAATGTGCCTAGTTTGCACTAAAAATGAACTGGAACAGTAAATGATTTACACAGTTTAGTTGTGAAAAAAAAAGTAGATTTGTTGTTTAGTTTCACTTTAAGTGAGTTCTCATTTAAGTTCTCAGACTGTTCTTGACTTAATATTAATAATTAATCATTTACTATCAAAGTAGTTCACCATATAATAAATAATATTGGAATATTAAGTTCGTCATGAAATAATTATTAGTGAACAGTATCAGTCAACAGTGTACAATACTGATACAGTAACATTACAGCTGTTAAAGCTACACCATTAAAGGTGTAGCTTTAAAGTAGAGTAAAGTGCACTGGACTGTGTGTAAATCAGTGGCACTAAACAACCATTAAGTTTGGGCCTTTAAGTGCCTCAGAATGCAAACACATGACATCAATACACAACACTCTCAAAAATGACTCAACATAAATTGCACTTCATTTGGTCAAATCCATTCTGAGAAAACGAGCTGCCCCATACACACTCCATACACACTACATACACACTCCATACACACTACATACACACTAATGTGAACCGGCTAGGCTAACCCCTTGTTTGAATGAGAGTAAGCTAAGTACTAGCAGAACTCACAAGTCCAGTCAGTGATTCACTTCCACACTGTGTGTTGTGATGGTAGGGTTAGGGTTGGTGGTGGGCTCCTACAGCTGCACATTAGCTCAGTTTCACAGGTTGATCTGACAATAGTATTTGAAAAGTGAACTGTGCCCTGAGCCTGGTTCCAGATTCACCCTGTAACCGTTTATTTGAGCAGCTCCGAGTGCTGCGGCTGACATCACACTCGCTTAGTCCACTTCTTTGTACAGTCTTTGGCTGAACTGCAACTGTACACACACACACCCACACACACACCTCCACACACACCCCCACATACCCCCCCTTCCCCCCACACACACACCCACATACACACACGCACACCCACATACACACACGCACGCACACACACACACACACACATACACCCCACACACACACACACACACACACACACACAGCTAAACAGAATGACTGCACACGATGGTTCAAATTAAATGAACACATTCAGAGCAGAACATCTGTATTTTCTGCTCAAGCTCAGGTTCTGCATGTGTTCCATTCTGTCCACCATCACAAAGAGCCTTTGTGTGTACTCCTAGTACTCTCCAGTAGAGTGCCCGTCACCAGCTCATATCCATGGATATTTTATACCTTTGCCTCAAATGTACCCTAGTATGGCATTAAACTACACTCTACCTAGCATCATGGAGACAGTACAGTGCACCACCAGACCAAGATCAGGTCAGATCTGTGGAAAGGCCATGATAACTGTGATAAGAACCTAACAAGTTAGCCTCTTTTAATGAAACAGGATATATGAGCCAACAGTTGTTAGAACACTCAGCTTTAGAAAACTTAAAAAGTTTAGATGAATAATTATAATTAACTGTCTTACCTTCACGTGTCCTTCCCATGACGTCCAGATATCCAACTGCCCTCCCAATAAAAAATAATGTTAGCAACATGGTACAGCAGATGATAGATGGCACAATAACATATTTACATATTTAAACAACAAATATCGGGGTGCCTTAACTATAAAGCACTGCGGGAAACACTGAGATAAGTCAGAGCTGAAGGGATTTGATTCAAATGTGATGAATGCACAGCCCAAACTACACTTAAATAAGCAAGATCGATTTTTTTTGACGGCTCATGCAGGGCCCAGAGTGGATGTAAATGTGATCTGTAGGCCAGTCACTATATCGACTTATCGTTCTGTATATGAGAGTTTGAACTATATATTTTGGGTCTTAAAATTTATCATGTTTTTAAGCAATATTGGGGAGAGTTTTGACATTTTTATGTGATAAACCAAGATATGAGGTATAGAGCGTTGAATAAATATCTCTAAATATCGACCAATTCTGAGTTCATTCTGCTTTCATTTAAAAATAGCTTTACTGAGATTCTCCTGCTTTGTGTCAGTCGTATAAAGTCATTTCAATATGTTTGTTTATCGTGATATTTCTCTATAGTGACATTTCATACAACGTACAGCATGTTATTGTGACAGTGATCGGCTTGTTTGGTTAAAGCTGCACTTTGTAATTTTTCTCATCACTTTGACTCCAGTGAGATGTTATGTTACATGGAGCAACATGAAACATATCTATCTTGCATTTGTTCAGTTACATGTGTTTATTTTTTAATCCTAAACAATGTCAAGCTGTGGCTCCACAGCTCTGACCCGGTCACATGTTCTGGTAGTGTTTAGTTTGTTTTGTCAAGGAAGTCAGGTGGGAGCCTAGAAAAGTTACATAATGTTACAGAGGTTTAATTTATGACATTTAATAACTGACTTTAATGACTTCTGGTAGAGGGTGCAAAACCTGGTTTTCTCCTTTGGGACAGGGTCACCTCTCCACATATCTGACCTGTAACTTGGCCTGATTGTCATAGCATGGATATGGAATGTTCTAGGCCAGTGGCTTCCAATCTTTTCACACCAAGTACCACCTAAGAAAACACTGGGCTTTCCGGGCCTAAATTGGAGCTAAATTAGGTGTAACACTGGATTGCGTCATGGCTCCAGCTCCTCGAACCAAAAGAGGAGCAGAACGTGGGTACATTTAATTTGTGGTGTAGTAAGGATTGTTTAAGTGGGGGTACGCAATTTGTGACATCATCGATGTCATTTTTTACTCAGAATGATGCGGAATCATGTTATTAACATTAACACAGTTATAATCACCTACAGAACAGAAATCACACACTACAACACATGAAACAGGACTCAACCAGAACTGAACCAGGACTCAACCAGGACTAAACCAAGACTAAACCAGGTTGGGTTGGTGTGTGTGTTGTGTGCAGAAGCTGACTGAAGTCCTGGAGAAACAGCAGGTCTGAACCAAAGACAGAGATCTGAGGAGAAGAGAGGAACTGGACAAGAGCGAAACATCTCCTGTCCAATTATTTAACCCTCCTGACCTCCTGAAGTTTCAAACCTATTGACATATGTTACATGTTAATACAAGGTATATTTCGTGTTCCTGGTAAGTTATTTTTGAAGTACAGTTTGTGTACACTAATACACTAGCTCTTGTTGTATTGAGAATTCACTAATCACTCCAAATATATAAAAACAAACGTGACTCTCTCCTTCCACCTAGTGTACAACTATTTCAATTATTTCATGTTTTGTGCTTGTTCCACAAATACGTGACCATCTGACAGGTTTTCCTGTTTTTTTTATAATTTTGACTTGGTTTGGTGGTTAAGACCTTGGGTCAGTATTTATTATAGTTTTATATCAGTCCAGTAGCAGTTTGTGGAAAATAGTACAACAATACAGGAAGTATCTCTGAGCTGTAAAACTGATTCTCTTTGCCTGTGTCATCAACAGGAAAACTCTAAAATACAGAGACAGTTTATTCCTACAATGACTTGTCTGACTGTTTAAACCTTCATTTAACTAAATAAAGGAGTTGTTCTATCAGTTTAATCATTACTGTTCTGTTTTGACAGAGAAGCCTTCTTAAACTGCTGCAGTAAATGTCAGTTATGTTTATCACTTTGGTTCAGGTTGTGCTCTGTCCTACATGACAAACATCAGACCCAAACTGAACTTCTGTGGACGGTACAGAGGCTGTGGTTTGCCAGGTAAATGTGTGGATTTGTTGCCATCTAGTGGAGCAATTGCAACATTACAGACAGAACTTGTCACTGAAATATAGCTGTTATCAGAAAAGGTCCAGAACACATGGTCCAACTTTACACTTTATTGTGTGAAATGACACTAAGCCTAAAACATCACATGTTTAACATCATTTCAGCAGCATGTTCATGATGGCTGAGTGCTGACACACCTGATCTGACAGGATATTTTATAAAAGTTGCAATGCAAATTCTGCATTAAAAAAACAAAAAAACATCATCCAGTAGACAAGCCTCTTTCTTTGAAATGTTATGCTATTTCAAATACAATGTTTCAACTGATGCATTTAGAGCAATCGATGCATTTACAGCATTTAGAGCTGAGCTTTAGGACCTACTTGAAAACACGGCCTGACTCAAAACATGTGCATGTCTTGTTCTGTGCACACAGTGGACAAAAAGAGCTCTAAGAGGGATGATGAGTTGCTAAAAGATACATTGATTGGAGACGTTGCAGAGGGGGGCAATTTCTTGGAATTTGGTTGATTTTGCATTAATAGTTGAGTTTGCAACATCAAATCTTGGAGAGACCGGTTCATGTCTTGTTCATGTTTAGCGTGTAAGTCCACACACAAGACAGGCTCTCTGCAGCTCCCCCTGGTGGCCTCGCTCCTCTAGCTCTCTGATGAACTGCTCCTTCAGGGCGCTGGACAGGGTGCTGTTGGCTTTGGTCTGGAGACAGTCCTGCTCTTTGGGGAAATAGGCAGATTTGGCTCCTGACACAGTCACTGAAGCTCCTGGAGGAGTGGAAAATGTGATGAGAACATTTAGGGCACCTCTGGGAACAGTTAAAGGTGGACCATGTAACTTTTTCTGATGGAGGTTGTGCCACCTTCTCATCTTCATGGGGATGTTATCACTTTGCCTAGAATGTTCCACAGTGTTAAATAACAGTGGAGTAGACGACAGTAAGGACATATGTTTTTTACTGAAATTAATAAAAGGCAAGATAATTAAATAAGTGAAGGACCATACTGTGGAACTTTAAACTGCACTGAGAAGAGCAAGTGTCACGCCCTCCTACAGAAATGTTACATAGTGACCTTTTAAATCTCCATAAACAGTTGCATTGCCCTATATGGAAAAGAGTTACACAGACATGATCTAGCCCTAATTGTGGTGCAGTTAAACCACAGTGAGGCAATATAAAAGCTGAGGACAGCAGCTAAAATAAAACAATACAAAAAGATTAAATACAAATAAAAAAGCCACCGACATGCATGTGTGTTATTATCTTATTACCCTCAATTTACACCAACGCAGTAAAAGCACATAAGGACAGCAAACAGCTGTACTTTATCACTTCATTCATTTTACTCTACAGAGTTACTTACGGATACACAGAGCCAGGGTGTTTCCCCCCACATACTGACTGTCCCATCTGTATTCCGTCTTGTCACTGCACTCGTCAAACAGTCGGCTCTGGCGCAGGAACCCAAAGTCAAAGCCCTGTGAGGGACAAGAGGCAACAGCACTATATATATATATATATATATATATATATATATATATATATATATATATATATATATATATTTATATTTTTTTTTTTTTTTTTTTTTTTGTATCTTCCTCAAAGTAGTCACCCTTTGTCAATAGCTGCAAACCCTTGGCCTTTGGGATGATGTCTCCTGAAATAGTTTTCACTTCACAACTGTTCCTCTTCAGGGTCAAGAAATGCCAAAAGAGCAAAGCTGTGGTCAAAGCAAAGGGTGATTATGTTTAACAATCTAAAACAGATTTGTAGACGTGTTTTGTTTGCTACATTCCACACGTGGATGTCTTCAGTGAGAAGCTGCAGTGTAAATAGTCAGTCCATGATGGATGGACAAAGTGTCTGAGCTTTTTGACAGCTAGTGTATGTGTAAGGGTGGATGATGATTTTTTTGAGTGCTGTCATGCGATTAAAAAAATTGAGAGATTAATTAATTATGATCTGTAATTAATTAATCTAATTAATCTCATTTTAATCTCACCTAAAAATTGCTGAGAAAAGCCTTCAATTTGAGGTATTTTCATTTAAATTCATTATTACATTATTGTGGCAGATCAAAAGACTGATATAGATTTTAAAAAAGTGACTTTATAAAGTCATTTATTGTTTAACAAATCTCTCCAAATTGGCTGTTGAGCCCAAGTCTCCATGAATAAGAAACTGTTTGCTGTAAAGTAGCAAAGACAAGGAAATCTGAACATAATAACTTTTGTCTACTTAAAGACAATAAAAAGTCCAGTCTTTCCTTAACCATATTAAAAATATTATTGATAGAGAAATGCTTTATAAATGAGATCACTGGTTTTAGTCCTTGTTTTAGTCCTGGTTTAGACCTGCTTTAGTCCTAGTTTAGTCCTGGAATGAATTAATCCTGGTTTTAGTCCTGGTGTTAGTTCTGGTTTGGTCCTGGTTTAGTCCTGGTTTAGACCTGGTTTTAGTTCTGGTTTTTAGTTCTGGTTTAGTCCCTGGTTTAGTCCTGGTTTAGTCCTGGTTTTAGTTCTGGTTTTAGTTCTGGTTTAGTCCTGGTTTAGACCTGGTTTTAGTTCTGGTTTTAGTTCTGGTTTAGACCTGGTTTAGACCTGGTTTTAGTTCTGGTTTAGTCCTGGTTTAGACCTGGTTTGAGTTCTGGTTTTAGTTCTGGTTTAGTCCTGGTTTAGTCCTGGTTTAGACCTGGTTTAGTCCTGGACTGGATTAGTCCTGGTTTTAGTCTTGGTGTTAGTTCTGGTTTAGAGACGCACAGGAGGAAGCGCGGTTTACGCCGCGTACGCGAGAAAACACGATCCACACGCGGCTCACGGGAGGACAGCGGTGTCCGCGCAGTGTCTACGGAAGGAAACGTGGTCCGCGCGTTCTCAGGTTAATGACGATGATGAAGGTGTGTGTTTGTGTGTATTTGTGTTTGTGTTTATTTGTGTGTGTTTGTGTGCGTGTCCCCTCATGTGGCAGGTCACTATAGGACAGTAGTGCAGACATCATGAGCCTATGCAGGTTGTTTTCACCAGTGACATTTAAGTTGTAGGCGATTTTATATTGTTATTTTCTTTTATATTTCACGTCGGGAGAGTCATTTCCAAGACACGAATGCGTTTTTACCTGTGCGCTGCTGACTCTGTTCTACTGGCTCTACGACCTCGTCCATTGTGCGACTGACGCCGCCAACGTTAACATGACGTTTCACATCGCTCTTACTGCGCGCGTTTTGTGTGGGTTTCCGGCAATGAGTGGAATTACCGAAATAAAAAAATGTATAAATGTGTTTTTTTGTGTGTGTGTGTGTGTGTTGTTGTCCCAACAACACATAAAAACAGGTTTTATAATAAAGCAACTCGCATACAGAAACACTAAAGTTAGAGATTAAAAATGAGATTAATGCGATTAAAAAACATAACGCGCTAAATATGACTGTAATTAATTAATCGCAAATAACGCGATAATTTGACACCCCTAATTTTTTTATTTATTTTTTTAATACTATTTGAATGAAGTGACCTTAGGTTTCATTTATTTGTGGTAAATAATTAATCTATACACATTTCATCTGCAATTCCAGTGTTGACAGCAGCAGGCTACTCCAGGACTGCAGGGGTAAATGAACTTTCATGTTGTAACCTGCACTCCTTTCCTGTGACTTTAGGCTTGGTTAATGCTGTGCACTGTCCCTGTGCACATGTATACATAGTTGCATCAGTGTCATTCTGAAGAGTATGTATGTCTGTATATTAGTGGTGTAGATATCAGAGTTGGACAGTATAACACACAGAGATTAGACTGACGTGGTTACACATTGGTTTGCAGAAGCGTCTGTTGTTCAAGGCCACACAAAGCACACCGCCGTTCTCTGGAGCATCGGCCGCTGGACACTTCTGAGGCTCCACTTCATCACAGTCTACAACACAGACATGAGTACTCCAAACCTGTACTCAGGTAGTACTTTAAACAATAATAATAATAATAATAATAATAATAATAATAATATATGTAAAAAGTCATCCATGTGAGAGTAGGACACAACACCTGGTTTTACACAAAACCCAACACTGTTTACATGTCATAACACACATAACACACAACATCACACATAACACACATAACATAGAACATCACACATAACATAACACACATTACACAATATCACACATAACACACAACATCACACAACACACATCACACATAACATAACACACATCACACAATATCACACATAACACACAGCATCACACAACACACATCACACATAACACACAACATCGCACATAGCATACAGCATCAGTTTTTGCTCTTTGTCAAATGAGGAGCACAAAGTGCAGTGTGTGTGTTACAGAAGAGTCTGGTGACTGTAGTGAGTGTGGTGACTGTGATGAGTGTGGTGAGTGTGATGAGTGTGGAGACTGTGGTGACTATGGTGCGTGTGGTGAGTGTGGTGACTGTGGTGACTGTGGTGTGTGGAGACTGTGGTGAGTGTGGAGACTGTGGTGAGTGTGGAGACTGTGGTGAGTGTGGTGAGTGTGGTGACTGTGGTGAGTATGGTGCGTGTGGTGAGTGTGGTGTGTCTTTAGTGTGTGTTCACCTCTGAGCTGCTGTGAGTGCAGACACTGGGCCAGTCTGCTGACGGAGCTGAGGAGAGCTGCTCTCTGCTCTGAACTCCAGTTGGTGAAGGTGGTGTTAGAGTGTGAACACAACACTGCCCTCTGGTGGACAGCACACTGTTAAACAGGTTGAGTAAATTAAAGCATGTATGGAAGATGGATTCTCCTGAGTTTGTGAACTCACAAGTATCGTGAGAATCCATCTTGCCGTGCATACTTAACTATGAACATAACATGTGACATACAAGTGTTTAGATCACCTGCAGGTGTGACAGCTCAGGCTTTGGGCTGATGTTCTCTGGAGCTTCATCAGCCTGAGCAGAATCGAAGAACAAAACTGGACACAAACAAAGACACATTCAAATAGTTGGTGGTTCTCTATTCACTTCAGTACATGCATCATTCTGTTTTTAATTGCATTAAAATTGATACACTTTGTTGTGTAATTGGTATTGAAAGTATGTATTGCATTTATTTATTTATTTATTTGTTTGTTTGTTTGTTTGTTGTTTGTTTGATTTTAATCGATATCTTATAGTATAAATTTAGGTAATTATGAACTGGAAAAAGGTGGCGCCCTCTCCTGGTGGTGGAGAGTCCCTGCAACAAGAGGAGTTCAAGTATCTCAGGGTCTTGTTCACGAGTGAGGGGAGGATGGAGAGTGAGATTGACAGGTGGATTGGTGTAGTGTGTGTCAGATGCCCTCCCAGCGTCTGTAGTGATGTGGTATCAGACTCTTGTGACGTAGAAGGTGCAGAGTTCAAAGGCAAAGCTCTCCATTTACTGCTCAGTCTCTGTTCTACCCTCACCTATGGTCAGGAGCTTTGGGTAATGACTGAAAGGACAAGAGCGTTAAATGAGTTTCCTCCACAGAGTGGCTGGGCGTTCCCTTGGAGATCGGATGAGGAGCTTAGTCACAAGGGAGGAGCTCAGAATAAAGCTGCTGGTCCTCTCCAAACGTAGGAGCAGCGGCTTTACTCTGAGCTCCTCCGTTGTGACTGGAGGGACTACGTCTCTTGACTGGCTTGGGAACACCTTGGGGTCCCCCTGGAGGAGATAGAGGAAGTGTCCAACATGAGGGAAGTCTGTCTATATGTTTTATTTGCAATGTTTTTATTTAAGTTTTTTGTAATTTTTTTTGTTTTGTTTTTCTGTTGTAACAGGTGTTCCCAATGGTTTTGTTTTGGGTTCTTTTTTAAAGTGCATTTCTGTTGAATAAATGCACTTATTTCTCTTTTATGCTGTAGTGTCATTTTAAAAGTCTGTTGGATTTTGAAAAAAAATAACCCAAAAGAGACGAGGCTATAATGAGAGAAGATGTGTCTGCTTTGTTTTGGCTGTATAAAAGCAAACATTACTTGGAATAAAATTGCAAAATGTCTAAATCCAGTTGGAGCAGGTTTGGTAGAATGACTCATTTAGTGCCACCCAGCATACTTACTCCAGTGTACTGAGTAACTCACTTGTGAACTTGAGTACTGCGTACTGTCTAATGAGTACTGCATAATGAGTAACTGACCTAAAGATGTATGATTTAGTATGAAGTCACTCACACTGATGAAACCATTATATCAGTTCTGTTTTTAGTAATAAATAGTAAATAGTAACAGTAAAAATATTGCTTTATAAAATACATATTAACCTGCTGTTTCTACAGATCACTATTATGTTTGTCCACAACTTACAAAAAATACAATAGCAGTGTTACACACAATCTCAGGACTGGCTGGTTTGTTTATTCCATAACCACAGCCACATAACACCATCACCTGCTTTAACTGGCCACAGCTCAGAGAATATGCAGATTATGTTTTCAAACGACTAAATTTAGTTTGACAATTGTATTGCTTGATTAGGTTGTGTATAAAAGCCCAATCTAAAATGCCTCTCAAACTGAGGAGTACTTTCCATGTGTACTTTTACTTAAGTACAACTTTGGCAGCAGTACTTGTACTTGAGTACATTTTTAGCCATGTAACAATGAATCTTTATCGAATCAAAACAGCAATTTAAATTAACACGATTAGCAAATATCAAAGGTTGTCATTTCCTCCACAAAAAAACAAAACAAAACTGAATGTTGTGTCTTATTCTGCATGAAAACATGTAACCCTGAGGTTTTATCTGTTCAAACCTAGTCTGAAATGTGACTCTTGTTTTCATTTGTCTGTTCAGATTCTTTTGGACAAGTTTCAAATGTGAATTTTGAACAGAAACCTCTTATTAAAATATAAATTGCAAATCTAATCACACATCTTAAAGTAACTACTTTTCCTGAGTCAAAATTTCTAGTACTCTGAATACCTCTGTTTAAGAGTAAGTAAAAAGTACTCGCTCACAATTGGTTTTAAAACATGTAACTATGTTAGTACTTTACCTGTCAGTACCCAGAGGCTCAGCAGTGCCCGTGTAGACTCCATTCTCTTTCCATTCGACTGATGCGCCCCAGAGACGCAGGGCATGACCAGCCTCTCCGGTTAGGGGCCAAAGTGCAGCGCTGCTGCCCCTTCATATTGGATCTGTCCTGACTTTTGACGCTCCACACCTTTCCTCAGACACAGTCATTATTTCCAGAAATGGGCTGGAGTTCTCACCAGGACAAACAATACAATTTGTAATTAAAATATAAAAAAATGTAATGACATTTGAGAGAGCAGGACTGGTGTACGTGCGCTCAGCTCACTGGGGTTCATGTGGAGCTGTTTGCAAAGGGTCAACAATGAGAAACAAGTTACATAATAGTTTCAGATTGTGTCTGCAGTTGTTTTTGTGTTGTTTATTTCCCAGTTTAAGGAAATGTAAATGGGACAGGTAGTATTCTTTCACTTCTATGGCAGGACTGCACTTGGTCTAACTGTGTTTTTTTTTTTTTTTTTTTTTTTTTTTACATGTTTTTTGTTCCATAAATAAAAACACCTGGAGTTGTATTTCACATCATTCACACTTGTTTCAGACTTTGTAAAAAGTGCTTTACCTAAGAGCCCCACCAAGTACACATCCAGTGTAGTGTGTGTGTATGTGCTCACCTGTGTGTGTATGTGTTCACGTGCATGTGCGTTGTGTGTGTGTGTCTGTGTGTGCGTGTGTGTGTGTGTGTGTGTGTGTGTGAATATAAGGCAAGAAGGCAAGAACTCTTGCTTAATAAAACTATGTTTTTTTGTTTTGTTTTGTTTTTTAAGGTTTTTCTGGTGGAGGTTCTGCATCTGCATTAAACAAACAGCAGAATGAAACACGTTGTGCTTAGTGTGTATCTATAATTACTCACAATACATTTATCCATTCAACCTTGTGTGTCTCATATAAAATAACAACACAAGTCTCATTTGTGCAAAAAAAAAAAAAAAAAGAAGCTGCATACAATAGAACTGGTCACTGGGAAATAAGATGAACAAAGTGTGTGCGTGTTGGGACCCAGAGGGAGTGCACAGCAGTATCATGTGCTTCACAGAGACCTGGCTTCATAATAACTTCACTGACACCAGTGCATCTGTACCAGGCTTTAAGACTGTGTGCAGACAGAGACACTCTCCTTAGCCGTTAGAAGGGCGGTGGGATTGGTGTTTTGGTGAAGGAGAGGTGGTGTAATCCTGCTCCTATCACTGTGACAATGTCACCAGACATTGAACTTTTGTCTTTGGGAATGTGTCCATATTATTTTGCAAGGGACTTTACTTGTGTCCTGTTCACTGGGGTTTACCTCCCTCCCTCAGCGGATGAAGATGCTGCCTGTGACAGGACACACACTGTGGTCTCTGAGCTGCAGTCAAAACACCCGGAGGCCCTTCTACTGATTTCTGGTGATTTCAGCCATGTTTCCTTGGACAGTGTTTACCCACACTTCACCAGTAGGTGGACTGTAAAACCCGGGATAGTGGGACTCTGGACCTGCTGTATGCCAACTCTAAGGAGGCATACAGTGCCACTGTCCTGCTCCCACTGGACGATCAGACCACAGTCTTATCCTGTTAACACCTCATTATGTACCTGCAGTGAAGAAACAGACACTAGTCAGGAAGCCAGCCGTGCACTTCAGGAGAGCTTTGAGAACACTGTCTGGGATGAGCTCTGCCAGCCGCATGGGGACAACGTTAACAGCATGATGGACTGTATAACGGATTACATCAATTTACAGCCGTCCCCACACGCAGTGTCCACTGTCACCCCAACGACAAGCCCTGGATCACCAGCCAGCTGAAGGATCTGCTCAATAAGAAGAAGTGGGCTTTCAACTCTGGAGGTCCACTAAGGACAAGGTGAAGAGCATACAATTATAGCTGAAGGTTAAGCAGGGCCAGGAGGCCTATGGAAGGAAACTGAAGGTTAAACTCCAACAGAATAACACCAGAGAAGTGTGGTAGGGGATGAAGACCCTCACAGGTGTCTCCAAAACTAAGAAGCAGGACAATAACCCAGGCCCAAATTTACTCAATTTGCATTTAATCATTTTAATTCACCAAAACAGGTCTCCTGGACCAGACCAAGTTAACCCTTGTGTGCTGAGGACATGTGCAGCACAGCTCACTGGAATCTTGCACTTATTCTTCACCCTGAGTCTGAAGTTTACGGAGCCCGCCCGATGACATCCCGATCACGTACGCGAAAAAAGATATTAAATCATGGCCTCAAAATACTATTTCGTTCCCACAATATATAATTCGTTCCCACACTTTAGCTAAATCGTTCGCACGTTTTAGATATATCGCTCGCACGTTTTAGCTATATCGTTCGCACGTTTTAGATATATCGTTCGCACGTTTTAGCTATATCGTTCGTACGTTTTGATTAAATCGTTCCCACATTTTAGCTAAATCGTTCCCACGAATTAAGAAAATGCCGCCAATTAAACAAACAGGGCGTGGTGTTCGGTTGATTTGGCAAGTCCTTCTTGCATGGCTAGCTGGACCTCGGACTTCAGCAGACACAAATAAAGGTAAGATATATCATTATTTATATGTTCCCCCCCCATTTTGACAACGTATATTGTTCCCTACTCAAATATATGCTTATGTAAATGTAGGCTTATATAAAATCCAGGATCGTGTAGTAGCGTGGCATAGTGTGCATGCTGCTTGCTGATAGTGGAAATGTTATGGAGTAAAGTGACAGTAAAATTGTCCTAATTGTTTACCGTGTGTTCATGTAGCAATGCAAATGCTCAACTGCTGCTTTTTTGAGGGAGCGTAACACAGAGGAGGGAGTCATCCAGACATTTAAGGATGAAAATGTAAGTTTCTCTGTTTTTCCACCTCAGAACATTGATCTCGTAACATCTATAGCCTACAATACAAGTGCCAAACACACATCCATGTAGAATGTAAGATACCGATTTGGATGAAATGCGAATAGACCTGTATAGACCCAGTGTTAGCCCCAATTTCGTCTTAGCATTAGCCATCTATCACCACAAATTATGAAATACCAGGACTGTTTTGAAGACTTACAACCACTCAACTACACGTGAGTAACACCAGAGCCTGATAGAAATCTACTGCCACATGTAGAATTGTTTTTGCATTGTTCATTGACGTAGCGATTAGCATCGAAATGAAGTTATATGCTAAGGACCACGTAATAAACATTTCGTAAATCTAACGCTATGCTGGACAATAATACCCTAAAAAATAAAGAGGGCCACAACAGTTTGACAAGAAACCCCTCGATTTATTTCATCCAGAGCCAATACAGTGTGTAACTCATGCGAAATGGAAACATGTGAAATGGAAGCGTCTCTCGCTAACTTTTAACGTCACTTAGGCTAATGTTTACCTTTATCAAACGCCTCAACAGCTAAGGACTAAACCAGAACTGAACTAGACTAAAACAGGACTAAATCAGGACCCCGTCCCCTCTCTCTCCACAAAGATTAGTCCTGGACTTGAAAGAAAGAAGGCGAGAGAGAGAGCGCGAGCGAACGAGCGAGAGAGAGGACCCCAAATCCGCGGAGTGCGTTCCGGTGACGGCAGCGTTTAGCCCCGCGGGGCGCGGAGCTCTGAGCCGGTCCACCCACCGCTACCGCGGGCACAACTCCGGTCGTTCAGACACTCGGTCCTGGTTCAGTTCTGGTTTAGTCCTCAGCTGTTGAGGTGTTTGATAAAGGTAAAAATTAGCCTAAGTGACGTTAAGTTAGCAAGAAACGCTTCCATTTCAACAGTCAAATGTTTCGTGTGCCAGCTGCTGCCACCTGCTGGTCAAGAACGTGTCTGTATTTGTGGATCTGTTATGAGACGCTTGGCCCTCTTTATTTTTTAGCGTATTATTGTCCAGCATAGTGTTAGATTTACGAAATGTTTATTACATGGTCGTTAGCATATAACTTCATTTCGATGCTAATCGCTACGTCAATGAACAATGCAAAAACAATTCTACATGTGGCAGTGATTTTCTATCAGGCTCTGGTGTTACTCACGTGTAGTTGAGTGGTTGTAAGTCTTCAAAACAGTCCTGGTATTTCATAGTTTGTGGTGATAGATGGCTAACGCTAAGACGAAATTGGGGCTAACACTGGGTCTATACAGGTCTATTCGCATTTCATCCAAATCGGTATCTTACATTCTACATGGATGTGTGTTTGGCACTTGTATTGTAGGCTATAGATGTTACGAGATCAATGTTCTGAGGTGGAAAAACAGAGAAACTTACATTTTCATCCTTAAATGTCTGGATGACTCCCTCCTCTGTGTTACGCTCCCTCAAAAAAGCAGCAGTTGAGCATCTATTGCTACATGAACACACGGTAAACAATTAGGACAATTTTACTGTCACTTTACTCCATGACATTTCCACTATAAGCAAGCAGCATTAGCTCACTAGTATTTAAGATAGCATTTTGTTTTGTTTTTTTATTTAGCTATAGCATGCACACTATGCCACGCTACTACACGATCCTGGATTTTATATAAGCCTACATTTACATAAGCATACATTTGAGTAGGGAATAATATACGTTGTCAAAAATGGGGGGGGGGGGGACATATAAATAATGATATATCTTACCTTTATTTGTGTCTGCTGAAGTCCGAGGTCCAGCTAGCCATGCAAGAAGGACTTGCCAAATCAACCGAACACCACGCCCTGTTTGTTTAATTGGCGGCATTTTCTTAATTCGTGGGAACGATTTAGCTAAAATGTGGGAACGATTTAATCAAAACGTGTGAACGATATAGCTAAAACGTGCGAACGATATAGCTAAAACGTGCGAACGATATAGCTAAAACGTGCGAACGATATATCTAAAACGTGCGAACGATATATCTAAAACGTGCGAGCGATATATCTAAAACGTGCGAAAGATTTAGCTAAACTGTGGGAATGAATTATATATTGTGGGAACGAAATAGTAATTTGAGGCCACGATTTAATATCTTTTTTCGCGTACGTCATCGGGCGGGCTCCGTAGAAGTTTGAAAACATAACACTGCTATGGAAGACCTCTTACATTGTGCCAGTGCCCAAGAAGCTCATTCCATCTGGACTTAATGACTTCAGACCAGTTGCTTTGATGTTTCATGTTATGAAAGTGTTTGAGAGACTTGTTCTGGTTCAGCTCAGACCTGGTGGCACCATCCCAGAATCCTCTACAGTCTCTCTCTGTCTCTCTCTCTCTCTCTCTCTCTGTCTCTCTCTCTCTCTCTCTCTCTCTCTCTCTCTCTCTCTCTCTCTAATTATTTATAA